CCCCCCCCCACGCTCTACCAGTGCCCCTCACTCCCAACCCACAGCCCCTGCTACCCCGGCCCTGGGCTCCCCCAGCTCTGCCAGTGCCCCTCACTCCCGACCCGCAGCCCCCTGCTAGCCCGCTCCAGCCTTGGCTCCTTAGCACCGCCTGCAGGGCCCCCCCGGTTCCCATCAGGTCACACCCAGGGCTCAGGCCTCTCTTGCTTGGGCATGACCCCCCCACCCCCGGTTAATCCCCCGGCTCCGCTATCTCGCTGGCACTGGCAGCCCGTCAATCACCGAGCTGAACAAACTAACCTGAAACCAGCCAATTTAGGGATCAGTGTCAGGTCACCCGGCTAGTGAGCGGCTACGATCAGCCCGTCCCTCCGTCACGCGCCGGCCCGCGGCACCGTCCGCTGCCTATATAAAGCACTTGGGGGCACCGGGGGCTGACACAGACGGACCATGGCCACCATCGTGCTAGCCCTGTTCCTGGCGGGCTGCCCGCTCCTGCGCTGGACGGCTGCCTCCGTGAGTATCTCGGCCCACGCGCTGCTTTCCCAGGGCCGGCGGCCTGGGGTTGAAATCACCTGCCCGCCCTGGACATGGGTGAAATCTTGCCAGGGCGACTGGCAATTCCATCCCTGTCCATGTTGCATGGCCATGAAATGTCCCCTGGGTTCCCCTCCGCCTGCCCCGATCCCCTCTGCACAAACTTTCCCCTCTGCCCGGCCGCTGCGCCCTCTGACGCACTCCTCCCCAGAAGTGGCTGCATTCCCGTGGCGCTTTAGGGAGGGGACGTGAGACGTGATGCTTCGGTAATGGGTCCCACCTGCTCCCCACTCCCCCTTCCAGGCCGTCCAGAATCTGAGCAGCGTGATGGACGCCAGCGGTCACTGCGTCTGCACCGTCATCCTGCCCGACGACACCTTCCCCCTGCGGCGGATCGAGCTGCTGGAGACGTCCGCCCACAACCTGACCCTCCGTGTGCAGCAGGAGATGGAGAAGGTGAGGCCGGGGAGGGGCCGGGGGGAGAACTGAGGGGTACTGGGGGGGTCAGGGGCCCTGGCTCTGCGTGACGTTTGGCGAATTCCTTCCCTCCCTGGGCAAGGGCAGCGCCAGCCCTGGGGCTGGTTCCCGCCGGCCCTAGTCAGGGGCAGGCTACGCAAGGAGGGGTTGTAGGCTGGGGGCCAACAGAGCCGCCCTGGAGCCCGGGAGCAGCCAATCAGCCTCTGGGGCAGCCGTTCTCAGGGCGTGGGAGCTGCTGGACACTCTTAGGGTGACCAGATGTCCCGATTTTATAGGGACAGTCCCGATTTTTGGGTCTTTTTCTTATATAGGCTCCTATTACCCCCCACCCCCATCCCGATTTTTCACACTTGCTGTCTGGTCACCCTGGCCCTGGTGCAAGATCTGGGCTGCGTGTGGCACGTCTGCCCTCTGCTGGCCTGGCTCTCGGCACCGTCGGCGGGGGGGGGGGAATGCCCCCGGCCTGGCTGCCAATTTTAGCCCATTTTTTGCCACTAGCGAATCACTCGCCAAACAAGGCCAATGTTCCTCAAGCGTCCCCTGCCCCCGCTCTTCCCTGCCCCCGCTCTCCCCCCTCCCCGGGGGCTCTGGGCTCCCAGCATCTCAGCGCCAAGGCCCGAGCCCAAGGGAGCAACGAACGACGTCGTCCCGGGACTCGCCGGGGCCCAGACTCAGCCCACCGGAGCGAGACCCCCCCCGCACCCCCGTCAGTCTCAGGCCCCCCCAGCAGGGCAGGGGAGGCAGAAAGCCCAGGGCGCCCCCTGTTCTGGAGCTGGGGGGAAGCCGCTGGACGGTTCTCGTCAATGTCGCTAGTGAAACTGACCCAGGCGCGGGAACGGAACCTTTCCCCCAAACTCCCTCCCCGGGGATCTCGCCTCTGACTCCGTCCCAGCTCCAGGGGAATCTGGGGTTTCTTTCTTCGTTCCCCAAACTGTGACATTTTCAGGGGAAGGGATTTCTGCTGCCCAGCCGGTGGGCGGGATCGAGATGGGTGGGGAGCTCCCCCCCACATCCAGACTCAGGGAGTAACACGGGTGTGAATCCAGAGTCACCCCCGGCTGCAGTGGGGTCAGGGCCGGGTTCTGATCTCAGCTGCTCCAGTGTTAATCCGGAGTCACTGCTGACTGCAGCAGGGTCGGGGCTGGTTCTGACCCAGGGAAGCCACGCGGGTTTACACCAGATGAGGTCTGACCCCCCTCTCCCCTCCCCCTGGCAGCTCCAGGAATACGGGCAGCGCCTGGCGTGGTACGAGGCCAAGCTGCAGAACGCCAGCCGCCGGCTGCAGCTGCTGGAGGTGGGCGACCTGACCCCCACCGAGCTGGACTTCCAGGAGCTGCGGAAGGAGATCGGCGACATGGAGTCCTTCGTGGGCCACCTCCGCTCCTCCCTCAACGGGAGCGACACCACGGTGGAGGTGGTGCACCGGGAGGTGAGCGTCTCGCGGGGCCGGGATCTGACCCCGGGGGGCCGGCGGGAAGGGCCCGGGCCCCCCCGGCAGGGCTGGACTCAGATCCCGTGTGGATCAGACACAGGCTGGCCCGGGAGCGACCCCCGATTCCCACCCGCGCTCAGACCCCCCCTGGCCCTCGTGTTGGGGGGCGGGGGATTCCCCGCAGCGTGGAGTGGCAGGAAGAACCAGCCCATTGGAAGCTGGGAAGGCCGCACGCCCTCAGGGGATAACCCCTGTAAGCCCTGCCCCCAGAGGAGGGTCCTGGCCCGTGCCCGCTGGAGCAGCCCCTGGCAGGGTGGGACTGATGCAGTGACGTGCCCTCAACACCGACCCCCATCCTCCTTGGGGCTGGCGCGGGGCCCACTGCCAGGCCGGCCTTCCCTGGGCTGCAGCTGGGTTCGGGTCCAGCCCGCAGGAGGGAGAACTCAGCCCCTGCCTGTCCCTCCATGTGTGGGGCCCCCGTCTGCCTCCACCGGAGCCATGCGGTCCCCTGCACACACACGGGTCAACACCTGCTCCCAGCGACGGGCGCAGGCTCCCTGCAGACCCAGGCAGCGTCGCTCCGTTGGTTCTGCTCAAGTCACATTTTCAAGCTTTTCCTCGCAAGCACAAGGGCTAGAAATGTAATTCCACCCCCCGCGCACACACACACACGCTGTCTAGCCAGGCAATGTTACAATAAAGGGTTAACCGCCGGCGTACCCGATTCGTTCCTCATGCGGGCTCGGGTCCATGTTCAAAGCGCCCGGCTGCCGATTCTGGCTTGCTGGCTGGGGAGCCCCCCCTCCGCGGAGGACGCCAGACAGGGCGACCCCGTTTCAAAACCCCTGTCCTCTTTGTGGCGCGTCTCTGGTGTTCGTGCGCGGTGGGAACGCTTTGCCGGGGCCAGGCCGGGCCGTGGTTCGCTATACGGCCATTGGGAGGCGAAGGCCCGTTTCTCCAGCGACGGGCCACACAAAGTCTTGCTGCTAACGATAACGAGAAACGCATCGGTACTGCTGTTTGCCGGGGCAGGGCACCGCTGGGAGCCGGCAGGATTCCCGCCCTTTCGACGGCCTCCCCGGCTCTGCGTGTGGCCCGATGGGGCCTACGCTGCTTTGACCCAGCTCTGCCCCCTCCCCGCAGACGTCTCCAGCCCGATGCCGGGAAACCCTGCGCCCTGCAGCCCCCTCGCCAGGCTTCGGGGCCCCGGGCGCCCTTGACTCCTGCCCAATATCTTGGTCTTTCAGCTGTTTGTGACTTTCTGCCGCCCCACCAACTACATCCTGCCCTTCGTCAACGTCCGGGGCAAGTCCCTCATCGACCGGCGCTGGAATTGCCCCCTCATCTACCTCCTGCGCAGGACCCAGAAGGCCCGGGCGTGCGAGCTCCTGGATGCCCCCCAGTGGCGGGGCGAGCCCAAGGAGGACTACGTCATCCTGGCGCCCCGGCGCTGGGACAGGAGGTCTCACAAGAGGTCCTTCGCCTGCTGGAAGCCGCAGTGAGCCGCCGGCCGGCCGGTTCCCGGGGCAGAAGGGTGAGGATGGGACAGGGGGACTGGGACCCTCGCTCCCCCGGAGCCCGCCCACTGCCCATCCGGAGGCCATCGACCACCCGCACCAGAGCTCGGACGCCCCGGGAATCTCGTCACACGGAGCTGCACGTCACCTGCACTCCCCGTCTGGTTCTGTGGCACCTGGAAGTCCATGAAGGGTTAATCGGAGCCAGTGATTGACAGTTGCCTCTCCCTTTGCCCCACCCCTATCCCGGTGGGCGTGGCCTAGTTTTGGCCACACCCTAAGGCTTGGTGGGCTCTGGTGACTCCCAGGCGGTCGCGAAGTCGTTCCCGGGCCCGGCTAGAGCAGGGAAACGGGACCCCACCGCCAGGGTCCAGCTGCCACTGAAATCCTGAACTCACCCAGGAGTCCCATGCGCGGGACGATCCTGTCGTGGGCTACGCCCAGCCGGGGCCTGGCCCCCTTCCGCCAGGGATAAACGCGGCTCCAAGTGAAACTGCCCCCGCTCCCGTGTATTTCCCCACATGCTCTGCTCCCCCAACCCCCCCGCTGCCTGCATTTCCCCTGGCGCCGTCCCAGCGTCCCGTTAATCGCTGCTAAAAAACCTAACTGCAATAAAAACGTTTCTATTTAACCATCCTCCGTGGTCTCGCTGGGTGAGTTCATTTCCGAGGCTCGGGTGGGACCCCAGCGGGGCCAGGTCCGAAAAGCGGGGACTACCCGGAGCCCGTCACAGCGGCCAGCGGGAGAACCCGGACAGATTTCCCAGGACAGCTACTTCTGAAAAGGGACGGTCCCAGGAACACCTGGCCAGGTGGGGACGGCGCCGGGCGCCGAGCTGTGCAAATAACGGATATTTTGGTTTGCTGAAGAACAATCGTTTTGCGTCGAACCGAAAACAAATAGTTTTGTGCTGTTTGGTGCATCGAAAAGTTGTGGGGGGGGGCCAGCGGGGGGGTTTATTGGGGGCTGAACGAAACATTTTGTTTGGAAATTTCGTTTTGATTTGGGGCCTTTTTAACCCTTTGCCCTGGGGCGTGTGGTACGTTAGAGCGGAGGATGTTTCTAAACAGAGAGTCCCGTTGAAACCCCCAAACAAGAACTAGTCCGGGTGGCTCGGAATTGTTTCAGGGTTGGGGGGGGGTTTCCAGACAAAACAATTTGGCGAAACTGATGCAAATTCACGAAACGTTTTGGTGTTTTGCCAAATCTGCATTTTTTCCCTAGGAAAAAAGTTTGGGACACAAATTCCCCCCCTTCCCCCCCCCCAGTTCTAGTGGGGATTTGGGCCATGGGCTGAGGTTTACATCACTGGGGGGCTTGTCCCATGGGCTGGGGCTTACCCCGGCTTTGCCATCTATTCTCCAGGCTGGGTTTCTCTGTTCCCTCCGCTTCAGCGGTGGGGAGGATGTGGCCACAAGGCGCCTGAGAGCGAGTATCTAGAGCACGTCCCGGAGCACGACCTGAAGTTATTGGCTAATCGACGGTGCTCGGGACAGGATAATTGGCTGGGTGGAAAACGGCTCTGAGCTCGCCGCTGTCAGAGGACGTTGCTCTGGGACGGAGGGGTCCGACGGAGCTGGATGGCTAAGGGTGCAGAGTCCCTGATTTAGCAACGGGCAGGGCTGGATCTGAGTCTCGGGGGGATCCAGCGTGGGGGGGCCTGGAGGGGCGCCCAGGCACTGTGCGGAAGGGCTGACCCTTGCCCTGTTCCTTGCAGCTCCAGAACATGTCGGTCACCGTGAGCGCCCTGGAATCCTACGACAAGAGCCACGTGGTGGCCATGAGGCGGGAGCTGACCACGCTCAAGCAGCGCTTGGAGGACTGTCAGAAGGACAATCCCCTGGTGGGACGGCAGCCGCCGATCGGTGAGTCCCTCCCAGAGAACCCAGGAGTCCTGGCTCCCAGACTCCCTCCCTCTAACCACTAGACCCCACTCCCCTCCCAGAGCTGGGGAGAGAACCCAGGAGTCCGGGCTCCCAGCCCCCCCTGCTCTAACCCACTAGACCCCCCCCCCATCTAACCCTTGTGACCCCCCATTCCCCCAGGCACGTGCGACCACCGGGGGATCTGGCGGCTCAGCAAGCCCACGGTGGTGCAGCTCAACTGGCGAGGCGCGAGCTACAAGGCCGGGGCCTGGGGCAAGGAGTCGGCCCTGCGCGCCGGGCGGAAGGAGCGCTACTGGGTGGCCCTCCTGAACCTGGACGGCCGGCGGCTGGACTCGGTGCGTCTCTACGGCTCCTACCAGGACCTGCTGCTGTCCCGGAACCACACGGACCAGCTGATCACGGGCTTCGGGCAGGGGGCCGGGCCGGCGCTGTACAACGGCTCCTTCTACTACAACTGCTACAACGCGCGGGACCTCTGCCGCCTGGACCTGGAGAGCGGGGCCGTGGACCGCAAGGCGGTGCCCAACGCCGCCTTCAACAACCGCTTCTCCTACACGGGCACCAGCTGGCAGGGCCTCGACCTGGCCGCGGACGAGAGCGGGCTATGGGTGTTGTACGCCACTGAGCGCAGCGAGGGCAACATCGTCATCGGCCGCCTCGGCCCCGGCTCGCTGGCCCTGGAGAAGACCTGGCAGACCTCCCAGTACAAGCCGGCGGCCACCAACGCCTTCATGGTGTGCGGGGTGATGTACGTCACCCGGGCGGTCAGCACCCACCGCGAGGAGATCTTCTACGCCTACGACACCCGCACGGGCCGAGAGAGCCGTCTTAGCCTGCCGCTGGACAAGGTGACGGACGTCGTGCGGTCGCTGAGCTACAACCCCAGTGACCACAAGCTCTACATGTTCAGCGACGGCTACCTGCTTCGCTACGACGTCCTCTTCCGGGCCTAGCGCCCGGCCGCACGGCCAGCTCCCGGCGCGGGTCGGCCTCCCGCCTTCTCCGTTCCTCCAACCCCGTCCCGCCTTCTCCGGCCCAGCCTTCTCCCTCCACCTTCTCCGGCCCAGCCTTCTCCGTTCCTCCATCCCCCTCCGCCTCCTTTCCCCCCTTCCATTCGCCCGCAAGCTCCCCTCCACCCCTTCCCTTTCCCCCCTTCCCTGCCCCTTGCTCCCCGGATCCTCTCACTCCTTCCTGCCCTCTTCCCCAGCCACCGCCCGGCTTCCTCCTCCCGCCTCCAGCTGCATCACTAACGCCAACCAACCTCCTGGCGCCCGGGCTCCGTCTCCTGCCCCGATCGGGTTTCTGCCACCCCATGCAATGCAAGCGCGGGCGGGGCTGTGATCTCGGCTCCCGAGTCCCCTTTACCCCAAATCCCCTGCCCGCGGCTGGATTGGGGTAAAGGGACCAGAACGGATAATCAGACCGTTGGGGTTTCCGGGTCATTGTTCTCTTGGGTTTACATCCATCCCATTGGCTCGCTGGCGTTGCAGCCAGTCCCGTTCGGCTCCCGGGATTTGGGGGTTAGCGATGCCGCTTCTCTTGCGTTTTCTGAGGCCCCATCGGAGCCTGATTTTTGCCTAGAACTTCCCGGTAGCGAATAAAGGTGATCATGTGACTGCAGCCCCCGTGTCCGCGTTTGTTGGTGTCACTCAGCCCAGTAACCGAGCGCCGCGCCCAGGGCCGGGGAGGGGGTGGGAACACAGGGACGGTCCCTGCGTCTCGCGCACTGCCAGGTGGGGTCCGGGTTGGGTTAAAGCCACTGGGCCAGGCGGCGCATTGATCCATGCAGGGCTGCATTGCCGGTGCGCATTTGCGCATTGCAAACGCACCCTGGATCGGCCAATGGGCAATGCACCAGCAATAAATCCCCCCGGGGCTCAGCCAATGGGAACTGAACCAGCAATAAATCCCCCTGGGGCTTAGCCAATGGGAACTGAACCAGCAATAAATCCCCCCGGGGCTTGGCCAATGGGAAAAGCACCAGCAGTAAATCCCCCCGGGGCTCAGCCAATGGGAAAAGCACCAGCAGTAAATCCCCCCCGGGCTCAGCCAATGGGAAATGCACTAAGAATAAATCCCCCCGGGGTTCAGCCAATGGGAACTGCACCAGCAATAAATCCCCCGGGGCTCAGCCAATGGGAACTGCACCAGCAATAAATCCCCCCGGGGCTCAGCCAATGGGAAATGCACTAACAATATCCCCCAGGGCTTGGCCAATGGGAAATGCACCTACAATCCCCCCTCCCTGGGGCCCAGCCAATGGGCAATGCACCTGCAACACCCCCCACCCTGGGCTCAGCCAATGGGAAATGCACCTGCAACACCCCCACCCTGGGCTCAGCCAATGGGAAATGCACTAATAAAATAATCCCTTCCACAAACAAACAAACTATCCCGCGGGCTCAGCCAATGGCCGACAAGCTCACACCCTCTCTCTCAGGCTCAGCCAATGGGAAATGCACAGAAAACAAACAAACCCAGGGCTCAGCCAATGAGACACTCAACAGGACATTAGGGGGGGGGTCCATAGGCGGTCTGACTCCCGCCCCTTCAGCTGTCCATCAAGCCTATCCTTCACGCCCTCGAGGCTCCGTTTGATTGACTCACGAGGGAAGCGGCCTCCCGCCAATGGCAAGGCCCGTTCCAACGCCCGCTCTACCTTTGGCCAATGGGAGCTCCCCTCACAAATGAAGCGTGAGCGGGAGACGGGCGACGAGGGAGGCGAGTGGAGCGGGGCGGCTGCTACCCAATCAGAAGCGGCCTTGCATCGCGGCGCGGGGCGCTCGGCCAATCCGCGGCCCCGTGGCACGGCGGCGCGGCGCGGGGCCGGGAGGAGGGCGATGGCGGCCATTTTGAGCCGATGGCCGGGCAGCCGCGGCCCAGCGCGGGGCTCTGAGCGGGGCCGGGGCGCGGGCGGCGCCATGGACGTGCGGCGGCTGCGGGTGAACGAGCTGAAGGAGGAGCTGGGCCGGCGCGGCCTGGACACGCGCGGGCTGAAGGCCGAGCTGGCCGAGCGGCTGCAGGCGGCGCTGGAGGCCGAGGAGGCCCCGGCGGGGGCCCGGGGCCGGCGGCGGGGACCAGGCGGCCCGACGGACACTGTGA